CGTGTTCTTGGATATTATGCGAGCCTTGACTGGCATTGGAGGCGGAGGTCTGATGACTATGGGTATGCTTCATAAATAGCATGATTTTTCTGAATTTCTTTCTGACTTCTATCCCAGCTACTATTATCAACTCCGACCTCATTCCTTTCCGTCATCGTGGCATGTACCAGGCGATCCAGAACGTCTCCAACGGATTCGGCGCTATCTGCGGTGCATCTTTTGGTGGCTCAATCGTGGACTCCATTGGATGGCGTTGGTGTTTCTTGCTGCAATGCCCGGTGTCGCTGAGTGCGCTGGTCTTGGGCAATTTTGTTTTGAAGTTCCCGCGAGATGATGATATTGAACCTACCTCTGACCGGGCTACACAAGGCATCTGGCGTCAGATCGATCTCTCGGGCGCCTGCTTGTTAGTCCTGGCACTTTCTAGCCAGTTATTCGGACTGAGCCTCGGTGGCAACGAGCTTCCTTGGACAAACGTCTGGGTAATCTTATCGTTGGTTGCCAGTGTGGTACTCCTGGTCATATTTTTCGTGGTTGAGGCTAGAACCTCCGCTGTTCCTGTGATGCCGCTGAAGATGCTTCGGGGAGTACTCCCCGTTGCCACGCAGATTTCCAATGTCTGTGTGGGCATGGCTGCGTATGCTGTAAGCCATATCTGTCTGTCTTTGGAATTTAAACTAACCGGTCTTCATAGTACCTCTTCACACTTCCGCTGTTGTTTCAAGTGATTCTCCTAGACAGTCCCAGCAAAGCAGGCGGTCGCCTGGCTATTCCGTGCTTGGCCACTCCATTGGGAGGGCTTATCTCCGGCATTGTCATGTCTCGCTGGGGGAAGCTTTCTCATCTCGTGCGAACGGGCGCCGGTCTGATGTTCATTGGAAACCTGCTGGTGATGCTGCTGCGATTCCACGACGCAGAATGGAAATATTTCGCCTATATGATTCCTGCCAATCTGGGTCAGGGTATCGTGTACCCAGGAATCCTATTTACCTTCCTGGCTGCATTCGACCACTCTGGTAAGCTAGTTCCTGTTTGCTACCTTGAACCAGCCAATGGAGGAAATGCTAAGCATTTCACTTTCAGACCACGCCGTCTCCGCCTCTACAGTCTACCTCATCCGCTCCCTCGGGACGGTTTGGGGTGTCGCCGTCACTTCTGCTATCGTCCAGAATACATTGAGCTCAGGCCTCCCGGAGGCCCTGAGTGGAATACCAGATAAATGGAACGTACATACCCTTTTGGACCACGTCTTGGTGGCCCTGTAAGGAATTTTGCTGATCAATTCCTTCTGCATAGGTAATCGACGAGATCCGTCACTCTGTCTCTGCAATTTATGATCTACCCCCGGACGTACAGACGGCCGCTCGACTGGTATACTACCGCGCTATCCGCTTGTCGTTCGCGGCATCGGCGTCTTTTGGGTTCGTTGCGACAGTGGCAGCCTTCTTTACGCGCGGGAAGGGGCTGGAACGCGCTACCGACGATTAAATTAGTTTTTCTGTATGCGGCTCTGAGGTGAGTGGAGTCTGCATAGCGGCAGAGAAATCCCGGGAAATGAATCGAGAGCGATGGGTGGAGGTTGAAGACGACTAACAGCTTACCGAGATAACGGTGGGATTGGTGGTCAGCTGGACCGGATGAGGCTCAAAATGACGGGTGATGCAGTGTTAGAAGTATAGATAGAATAATAGTGGATCTAGTCTGCCAGCCTAACACTTGGTTGTTTTGCTTCAAATCCATTCCGCTTTGGGGTGTGTGTGAGCTCATAGATCAAAGAAGTAAATCTCGGATGTCTTCATTGTGTATACTATCTACTTTGCCAAAGGCAAACCATTGACTTCTCATAGGATATGCGTCAATTGGGTTTTATAAGTAGTAGTTACTGGTAAAACGACCGGAATCCACTAAGCGTTGGTCCTCAGCACCGCGACACTCAGATTTGGCAACTTGAAGCTGAACACTCCATTCTTCCCGGCCTTCACCTTGACGGTTTGGCTATCCACCATGTTTGGAGCACCGACGGCATTCATGGAATAAGCGCTCGGAGCCGTCAGCACGGTCAGGTCGGCTGTTGCGCCTCGCTCAATGCCCTCAAATTTCAACGACACTGGCACATTGGCGGTGCTGTTATAAACAGCTGCCTTGAAGATGCGCGAATTAGTCTGACTGTCAAGTCCGGTGGCGTAGTAGAGCGGGCCAAAGGCATCAGGGGAGGTTGCGGGAAGGGTGTCCGTCATGTGGTTGTGGTTGAACAGCTACATTCAAAGTTAGCCATGGAGGTATACATAACAGAACAGTGATACTGACATTGTAGACTTGCCAACTCGTGGAGCGGGCTGTCTGATCTGGGTTCGCGTTGAAGGCTAGCATGGTTGGCGACCATTCGTAGTTGTCCAGGTTCATCATCCAGGGCGCCTGCTTCCGTTAGCCCAAATTCGTATTTGGAAAAGAGTACTCACATAGGTTGTTCCGATGATTTTGTCGGCATTTCTCTCTGCACCCAGGAGGAAGACTGCTTCTCCAACGGAGCCGATCCACCAAGGATATGTAGAGAAGTGATAATCACTCCAGTTAACGCCTTTACCGTTGTTGAATTCGGTCGCTGCAATTTCGCCTATTATTAAAGGTGTCAGCGAATTGTTCGTGCCTTGCTGAATAGTCCCTTACCGAGCAGGATTGGATGCTGATCCGTGTAGTTGTCCCACATGTTGAACTTGGTGATAAAGTTGTCCGGGATATCGTACAAATGGTAATCACCACCTGCGTTGCCAGGTAGTGTCATGTCGATGGTCGATGCGATCACTTGAATGTCTGGGTATTTCTTGGAGAGGGCATCGTAGAAAGCCTGAAAACGGTATTCCTTGTACGAATCCAAGCCCCCACTCAGGTTATCCTCGTTGCCGACCTCAACATACCGGATCTTCCACGGCTCCGGATGGCCGTATTTGGCTCGTAGAGCACCGTAATGGGTGTCTACGGATCCGGTGAGAAATTCCAGCTCATTCAGCGCGTCCTGTACGTAGAAGTCGAGATCGGCCTCCGAGACAGTATCCCCATTTAGGGCGTGGCCGCTCCAAATAGCGAGAACTAGTAGACCGGAGTCAGAGAGATCAATGAGATGTTAAGAATGTGTTCTTACTGGGTTCCATCCCGAGATCATCACACCACTCCATGTACTCAACCAAGCCCATGCCACCCGTCTCTTCATATCCCCATGTTGTGGCGCGGCCGGGCCGATCTGTGAGTGGTCCGATAGTCTCGTTCCACTTCCATCGGCCAGGGATTGTGTCGCCCTCGAGGTTGTTGCCACCTGGAAACCGGAGGAATTTCTAATTTTGATTAGTACTTCTCTGCGAAGTAAACATTCTCGAAGACTTACAGGACCAAGATCATACATGGCTTGCATCAAATCGCGGCGGAGCCCATTCGGACGGTCGTTCCAAGTCGGTGGGAACAGACTGATGAGATTGAAGTCAAGATAGCCATCAGATGTTTTCTAGTATTATTAGCTAGGAGCTTTGCGAGAGTCCACAGTTCAACTTACCGAGGAATCGAAGGTCAGCGAAAATGTATTGTTGGTGTTTGAAGCCGTGGTCTCTGGCGTAAGAACAAACTCATGCTGAACCCATCCGTCTCGGTCACTCTTCGAAGAAATGGTAGTATTTGCTAGAGTCTTTCCGCTTGTGGTTGATTGGAGCTTTGCGGTGAAGTTGCCGCTGTAAGAACCCTTGACATAGAAAGACCCGGTGTACTTCTGAGGCCGCACATCAATGCCGAAGAATCCCAGGTTGGTAAGCCCGGACTGGCCAATCCCTGACACTCTGACTGACGTTGGGAGAGCCGAGGAGAGCGGGTCACTTAGGTTCTTCAAAGCCAACGACGAACCTCTGACCGGCACCCAGGCATCCAGCGACGAAGGGTAGGTTGTACTACCTTGGAAGGCCCTGTTGCGAATCAATTCCGCATAGAGACCTCCTTCACCACAGTGGTTGATCTCCTAAAGCTTGTGTCAGATCTTTGAATTCTATTCGACGACTGCGGGCTAAACACACTTCTTCCATAACGCCATATTGCAGGTTGGTCGTGGCATTGCCACCAGATTTTGCAACTGAGATCTGGTAGGCCGCGCTGCATGACGCCAGCAGCGGCAGGAGAAGATGCTTAGCCAGTACCATTTTTTATTATTTGGCCAGGAGATGCAAGTTGCAGATCCTACCGTGGGTTGACAACAAATTCAGACGAGAGAACTAGCGGCACAGATATATATACGCGGGAACATAGGTACCCTATGGGATCTTCATTTGCAGTTGCTTTATGGATCAGTATTGAGGTTGCTCCTGGCAATCTCGAGTCGAGTTGTGAGGGGCAAGAGCGAAATGGGACGATCATTGCCTCCTGAATGCAATTGTAAGTGGGTAGATGGAGCCAGGTTGATATGAAACTTTTCTGTTTCGGGTAAAATCCCTTGAGGAGCAAACCCTCGGCCCGCGTAGGGATGGAGAAATATCGGTATAATAACCCCTGCCGACTTGATCGTCACTCAGGGAGTATGTGACTCGTTCGGTCGAATTGGAGAGGCGAGACTATGCGGCCGCATTCTTAAACTCGGCTACTTTATCCAATGAATTAACTTTCGGCGGTTGTCCAATGTGTTTCTGTCTTTTTGGGTGCAAAGGACAGCAAACATTTCGTGTTGTTATGATTGACGGGTAAATCACCGAGCGATGTTCTCTGTCTCCGCATCCACGGATTCTCCACATTTCGGTGCCTGGCCTGACGTAGTCCGGAAAAATCTTGACCCCTTGTATAGATATAATAATATGGCATTATGTTACCTAGGTATTTTTGAGCTAGATCAATCTAGCTTACCCGTTGATGCTGGCTCCGTTGAAACTTGAAATCATGAACCTTGAAATAAATCCAATATACAGATAGGCAAACAATATTTGCAAACATGACTTTAACAACAGTTCTCTTCAAGAACAGAAACATAGAAAATTTCACAATATGCGCTTCTCCTTGTACTTCTCATTATGCATCCCAATAAGGGTAATTTCATCGCAGGACTCTCGTCTGTCGGCAGGAGCAATTGCCGCCGCTTTTTCGATCTCCCGAATCAACGAATCATCTTTCTTCTGCCGCCTACCTCGGTAGAGCCCACAGCACACTTTGACGCGAGGGTATGCTTTGGCTCTGTTTCTTATCATTTGATTTCTCTGGAAGAAAGTATACCTATCTCTGAAGCGTATAAGAATACTTCTAGCGAGAGAATAATTGTCAGCATCTTTCATGTATAGGTCCTTGAGTTAGCGGCAGTTAGACCATCATGATGAATAAGGCTGACAGCAAGAGAATAAGACGCAAAATGGCTTTTCTTTTCTCTCTTTTTTTTTTTTTTTTTTTTTTTTTTGGTAGGGCTCGGAATAGCTTTCGCAAAATACTTCTCCGGCGACTCTGAGGCGGAGGAAGAACTTACTTAGGCTTTGTCCACTCGTTGAGCCATGCATAGCAACAAGCCATGGTATAAGGGTGATCTGGACCATAGACTCTCTCACACAACTTTGCACATTCAGTCATAGTTGCAATTGCCTCTGCGTCACGGTTTTGCAGTTTCAGCGTTTGAGCCAGAAATTTCATTGACTTGATGGTCCCTGGATGCTCAGGCCCAAGGACTCTTTGATTCCTCTCCAAGGTTTCTAAATGGAATTTCTCAGCTTCTTTTAATCGCCACTGGTGCTTGTAGAAGTTTCCCAAGTTGCACATGGCAGCGACCGTATGAGGATTGTCAGGACCCAATACTCTTTTCGTGATATTCAATGCTTGCAAGCCTAGCTCCGCCGCATCATGTGTTCGTGACTGGAGATCGTAGACTAGAGCCATATCCGATATGGCACACAGAGTGTTAACATGATAAAGCCCTGGATTTTTGAGGTAGTGTTTGATGACCTGACTGCCGACGTCTTCGGCTTTTTGTAGGTCTCCTGCCTCGCGAGCCTGGAAGGCTATCCTTGCCATGGCGTTCAGTGTGTCTGGATGACTAGACCCCATAGATTTCTTCAAGTGCTCAAATATCTCCTCGTATAACTTGAGCGACTTGAAAAGGAGACCTTGTTCACCGTATATTGTCGCAAGACTACTCAAACATGATAGAGTGGCAGGATGCTCTGGGCCGAGAGAGCACTTTGAAATTTCAGAGGCTTCAAGAGCAAGTTCCTGAGCCTCGGATATTCGACCATCATGGAAGACGCAGAGAGCAACCTTGTGGAGAAGAGACGATCTCTCCACCGTATTCTCGTCCTTTGCTGTGGTGTTGAGAATATGAAGCGCGTGAGGCATCACTGCTCGCCATTGAGTTTGATCAAGAAGTATAACCAGTGGATAACGGTCGTTAATTCCCCGGAAAACAGATCTCTGCCAACTCTCCAGAGAACCAATTGACTTCAGCCAATTTCTCATTGCAAGGTGCACTAAGCGATGCATGTCCAAAAGGCCATCCTTATGCCGCACACGAACAAAGGAATAGGAACTGAGAGTTCCAATCGATTTTACATGATTCAGTTGTGAAGCTGGTGGGAGTAGCTTCAATGGTATATCCCGATGGTTGATACAGGCCATGAACGAGAGGTAATCCGCCGCTAGCGGGTCTTGTCTCCGGATCTGAGCAAAGGACGTAAGCCATGTAGTGGCGACAGGATTTCTGGTGCTTTTGTATCGACCTTCATCTTCAAAATCTTCACTTAGAAGGTCAATGGAGTCTTGTTCCTGCCCATCCAGTAGTGTAATGTAGCGGGAAAAGTCCAGTTTGTTCTCGTTGATGAAGGAAGCAGCCTGAACTATTGCCAAAGGAAGGAAAGTTAGGCGGCGAAGGAGCTCTCTCGTGGTTTCTTTATCGTTGAGGAGCTCTTTGTTGACAAGCGAATTTCGTAACACTCGGGAAGCTCTGTGTTCATCCATCTCCGGAACCTCAACGATATTGGTGGTCGACAAGTGCTGGGCAACTCTATGGCTGCGTGTTGTGAACACAATCGCGCCTTGATCACTGATGGGAAGAAATTGTTTGAGCGCATTTGTAGCCGACTCTGTCGTGCTTCCATCCCACATATCAAGGTCGTCCGCGTTATCATAGATCAGCAGCCACCTGCCTGTGCTGGGTTCACCGAGACGCTTTTGCACCAAGGCCTTGACATCGTCCGTCTCATTGTCACATACGGGAATTCTAAGCTCCTTTGAAATTTTTTGATATGCCTGTTCAAGAGTCTCTCGGTCCACTGCTGGGATCCAGAAGATTGAACAGTCTGGCCATTGGTCTCTTATCTGGTACGCAAGTTCCAGGGCAATCTGGGTTTTGCCCACACCACCAAGGCCATAGAGGACAATTCCCTGATGGTTACCTGTAATGAAAAGTTTTCGTTTTATCTTGCCCAAGAACTCTCGGTCCACGAATCGAGAATTTCTCTCAAAGGGCACAACCCAGCATGGCGATGATCGATTCAAGAAAGGATTGTTCAATGAATCAACATTCTTGAGGATGCGCTGACGAAATGCTCGAGAGGAATGTTCCTAATATTCGTCAGACAATGGACAATGACCAAGAATAGTGCATATTCTTGTCGTAATAGGGAATCATACATGCATGGTAATTTCGAAATCAAGATCCGTCATCTCTGCTAATTGTCAACAACCATAGGCTCTATATCTATAAATGCACAAATATCAAACCTACCGTCTTTGCTGACCAAATTCGATATGCAATTCCGGATATCGTCTTTCTGGGCAGAGTGGTGAAGATAATCGTGAGTCGCAGACTCGATCAAGCTTCTCTTGTCATACTCGGTCATTCGCACATCTTGCAAACCTTGATCGACATTGAATCGAAAGTAGCGGTGCTCTCTATACTCGTTGTTCCAGCGGGCCAGAAAGCGCCTTTCCGTACTTTCAGGCTTTGTGGCCATTCTGACCAAGGTTTTTGAAAGGAAGTTCAGAATATTGTCATCGATAGCCCCCTGTCCGGGGTCGCCTGTACCAACAGAGACAATGCACTTGACAAGAGGCTTCAAGTTTCAACTCCTAGGGCACCAGATATCGGCAGCTTCTTCTTCAACCTCTTCTATAGGGTTGTTTGCGCCAAATGCGCCATCAACGAATTGCCGGTCTCCAATAGTAACTGGGTCAAAGAATCGTGTGGCAGCAGAAGTTGCCAAAGCCGCCTCACAAATCGTTGCTGCTATTGCATCTTCGTTGGAAACACTATAGCTCCGAAGCCTGGCAATTTGAAGTGTTTCTTTAGATGTTGTGCAAACGAAAACCCTGCAACGATCTGTTTTTCCGTCATCCATAGGATCGTTCGGTGATGACCCAGACCGGATAATGACATCTTCGATCGCCATCCTGAGCTTTTTACTTTCGTATTGCGCTTTTATTTTGCCAGACCAATCAACCGGGAGACTGTTGGCCTTTTCGCTGAAGACAGAACTCATCAGCTGACTGTATGCTTGGATACAGTCGTCTACATTCATCTCCAATCGTCCGAGCATGATCGCAATAAGCCTGGACACGCAGAAAGATCGATCAGAGCTGTGCAGCTGTAATCCTGAAAGTACATACCCCCCAGTGCTGGTACCACCAATCAAGTCGAAGACATCGCATGGTTTCAGAGTCGTGCCGTCTTGCCGCTCTGCATTGAGTTGGTTCATGACATCTTTGAGAATGTAGAGGCTTGATAATCCCCTCACGCCTCCACCGTCCAAGGACAAGAGACACAGTCCATTGACGTCAAGCGGATTTGATCGATTCTTGTGCAGCGTGACTTCGTCGGAGATAGTGGTCTCAAAATACTTCATTGTGGATATAAATAGATAGTATAAAAATATAGATCCTCGGTGATAAATTACACGAAATCAGCAGCTGTATACGAAGAAAGCATGCGGGACTTAAATAGTCTGCCTGGGGCTACGGAGCCGCATGTGCATGTACACGGGGCTGTTGGGCGCTTACATGCAACACTGATCCAATATACTCAAAAAAGATCGACGCTTCCAGGCGCCTACACGGAGGACTGGCTAAATATTGAGTGACTCGCCGTTAACGATCACAAGGCCGCTATTAATAACAGGCTGGCGCGGAAAGGGCGGCAAGACTATCCAAATGCTACCCAACTTCCAATTTCAGGTAGCCAAGCAAAGCTCGAGACATGTTCTTAGAGCCTTGGTTGGAAGCGACGAGATAAATGTGGGGCAATTATTATGTGGATAATAAATTCATAGCATTACAATGCTTTCTCCTTCCCTGACAGTCCCTCAAAACGACTCTTCTGAAGCTATAAATCGATTACGTGGACTATACAGTGGAACAACTAAAGCTACCAGTGCAAAAAGCAACATTATGGACGAAATAATGCTAATGACGAGAAATGAAATCAGGACGATTTAAAGAGTGCGGTAGAATGCCCGAGAACCCTGGCGAGCAAATCTAGAAATTCGAACGCCATGAACAAGAAAAACATCATGAATCGTCAAGTTTAGCACATCTCGCAACACTCGATGCAGTCGGCACAGCACTCGCATCCCTCCTCGCAAACGAAGCAGCAGCACAGGGTAGCCAGGCTAGAAACAAAATTTACATTAGTAGTGTCTTTGACGGAGAGAACGAGGCCGAAACTTACCAAGCACCGAGACATCCCTGGCCACCACTACTCGACTTTTGCTGATGCTGAACGGGCGCATAGGCCATCTACACATAGGTCAGCACATATGAACGAAAAACTAGTACCTGTATTAGGAATCATACCTGCTGCGGGGGCTGTTGGGGAGGCGGCCCATAATTGTAACCCGGCTGCTGAGGAGGGTACCCTTGCTGAGGAGGGTATCCGTAACCCTGTTGAGAGGGGTACCTGTATCCAAGTAACGAGTCAGAGGGAGTTCCGCTAAACACGCTGCCACGAGGGGGAGAAAATGCCGTCGCTGTCGCGACCCGACAAGTGCAGCAATAACATAGCTGCGGGAGCCGCGACAAATGAACGGTGTCTTAAAACCGGGCGCGATGTGTAGGTCCAAAAAAGAATGCGGAAGTATCGACTTACCCATGAGCCTGGGGCGGGTACTGGGGCTGCTGATTGTAATAACCTTGAGCAGACATGGCGACGACGCTAACGAGTCTGGCGGCAAGCGAAACAGATCAGCGACCGGATCACATCAGGGCGACGACATCCATGGCAAGCGCCACGGCGCAGTCAAACGGCGCAGTCACGACATCCTGCGATCGCCAGCACGGCGGTTAAGGGCGACATACCTGGATGAGGATTGGCGGGATGGAGGTGATGGAGGCGGCTTGAGACAAGCGACCGGGGAAAGCGAGCGAAGCGGAAGCGGACTAACGAAGAGTCTAGCGCGAGAGACGATCCCAAAAAGTGAGACCGGGTGTGGTTGTGGTTGGTGGTTGGTGTTTGTTGTCGGGGAGAGAAGAGAAGAGGAGAAGAAAGAAAGAAAGGAAGGAGAGGAAGGAAGAAAAAGGCTGGGCCGATCGGTAGTCTTCACGAGGAACCACACGGGTACAGAGCGGGTACCTGTGGGCCCAGTGGTGCAGAGTGAGGCAGAGTATGTACCTGTCGAGTACCTTTTTTTTTGGTGAGAATCCGTGGCACTGACTACGTGGGCGAAAATAACTTTGCTCGTTTCTTGTTTCCCTGGTTCGGCCTGATGATTCCCCCAGGCTGACGACCATGCGGACCGCAGCGCCACACCAGGCCGCCAGCCCTACGACCAGGAGCCGTTCTGATTGGGCCCCCCGGCCAGCCACCGTATCATGGCTGAGCCACACCGGTTCACCGCCTGTATCGCTGCTGCCTGGGTGCCGGGTCTCGGGTACCTCGTCCCTGGAACCACTGCGAGGGAGACAACAGGCACAACATCATTCTTCGCCTGACCAACGGGTTCCTACCGTGACAAGTAGTTCTTTTACATCTGCTCTAGTCTGACCTTTCGATTAAGATGGCGGACAAACCCCTCAAAGCCACCTGCCACTGTGGCGCCATCACGGTGATCGTGCCTCGTCGACCAGACGAGATCAACGAATGCCAATGTACAATCTGTCGGCGCTACGCAGTTGCTTGGGCGTACTACAAAGTGGATGAAGTCAAATTTGACGTGAAAGAAGGCGCCAAACTCTCTCAGTACGTTTGGGGAGATAGAGAGAAGTCATTCGATTTCTGTGGGACTTGCGGATGCGTGTAAGTCTCGATCGGCTTATCGTTTGTAGAGTTCGAAGGGTTGGCTGAAATTCTTGGCCTAAACATAGATGCTATTGGTGGCCATTTGAAAAAAAGATGCCAGACGGTAGTGCAGCTAACTGCGGCGTTAATACGAGGAATATGGATCCTATGGAACTCTTGCATGTCAATCGCATGATTGACAGAGCCTGGTTGTTTGAGCCAATCAACGATAAAACCATGGCGCATGAGCAGGACCAGGCCAAGTACTGAACTATTTGTGTAGAAGTTATTGCAGATTTAATTGAAAGGATGTGTCCTCAAGGCGGAAATAGTGACTGTTGCTCTCTAGCCTTGTCCAGAGTCGGGAGTGAACTAGCTTTGGACAACCTCTACTGCACCAACCCCGAGAGAGAAAGGCCTGTGCAGGCTAAAGGATGGAGATTTCAAGTCTAGATGGCCGACATTCTGTATCAGATCTACGCTGCTTGTTGCAAAGCCAGCCGCGATGGAAACCCAATGATTGAAGTCCGTAGCGGCCTTTAACTCAAGTGACGTCTGTCTAATGTCTGGAAGCTGTGATGGAATGGCTGCAGCCTTACGCACCAAGCCTTAGAGGTGGTGGCTGGGTTGTCACACGGTATTGAATATACTTCATTATTCATGGATTGGCATTACTAGTTCGTCACTTACGTTCCAAGGTTCCTAGGTCAGAAATTCTCCAAGACACCGCAAAAATATCAACAAGAAAGAAGGCATAAAATACAACAGCCGAAAAAGATGCGCAATCAAACCCAATAATACCAAAAATTCTGTCGTGATAGAGGTTTAGACATAAATCATTACATGACGTACGACTCGAGCTCCGACGGCAGCGCCTGTGCGTCGAGGTAGAACGGCGCGTCCAGCGCGGGATCGAGGTCATACGAAGCAAAGGCGTCGTACCCGTGCATCAAAGCCGTCTCCATGCCGGGATCGGCGTTGTCGTAGCCCGTGTCGGGCAGGGCGACAGGCGGTGCGTCGAGGGCCGGCTCGCTGGCCTCCAGATCCCGCAGGAAGTTCTCATCGGCCACCTCCTCGGTCTGGCGCATCCAGTGGCGCAGCACTTCCATCGGGGGATGGTTGCCACCGCCCTTGCCTCCGCGCTTCTCGCTGTCCTTGCCGCGGCCGCCACGGCCACGCTGGCAAGGGTTGAAGTGGGTGCGGCGCAGATGCGCGGCCGCGTTGTAGTTGGCCCCGTAGCGTTTGCCATTGCGGCATGCTTTGCAGTTGGCCAGGAAGGTCTTGTCGGGCGAGATGTCCACGCACACCCACACTTTGCGGACGGGGGCGTGTACGCGCTCGATGTGCCGGCGCAGCTCGTGGTCCCCGTGGAACCCGTCGGGCTGGTCGTTACACAGCCGGCAGTAGGTTTTGGGTCGCTGGGGCCGCTGTACGGTCACTTTGGGAATTGCTGCCACTTCTTTGGCTGTGCCGTCTGCGGAGGAGATCCGGACCATCTTGGGTGCGTCGGTAGAGTCGGACGGTGATGAGATGCGGGCGTCTGACTCCCGCTTGGGGGCGATGGGGCGAGCGCCATGGGCAATCTGTTCTTGAGCCCGTCGGGAGGCGCGAGAGGGCAGCGACGACGTGGATGAATGGTTGCTGTCGGTGGAGCTTGACGGCTGCATGTCCACCGCCGTGGCGGATGAAGGCACCGGCAGCGGGAAAGAGGTGGTTGGCGGCGCGGACGTCGAGAAGGAAGTGGAGTGAGAAAAAGGAAATGGTACGGCGGAATCTATGTCAGGATACAAGGAAGAAGGGAGGGGATCATGATACGGTGTATCGGAGGTGGTCATGGACACCAACTCCGGGGGAATGGAATACATGGAGTCGAGACCGACACCCGATCCCGCTGAGCTGAAACTGAACGAGTTGAACCCGCCGCAGAGCGTGTCGGTCGTCACGCTGCGTCGCATTTCCACGGCGGCGGCCGGAGACTGGTCAGCCGGGAGAGATGATGGCCGGTGCTGCTGAAAGGATGCCGATCCAGATGGTCCAGGATGATGTGCCGTGAGCCCGGGTGTCAACGCCGAGCGTGGAGGCTGGCAGGGAGTGTCATCCAAATAGTGCTTTGCGTATTCGGACGGCGAGTACTCGTCGACATGGTCAAGGCGCCGCGTGGTCGCTGACGCCCTGAGAGAGAGCCGTGTGTTCATGACCGAGCTCGCCGGGGGACGCCGGTGAGAGACCGGGATCTGCTGGCTCTGCGAGCGGACCATGGGCGTATGCCGGTAGGACCCCAGGCCCTTGTCGGCGGAGGGAGCCTGCGTGGCATCGGCGGTGACTGGAAGATCCGGGGTCTGCCAATTGTCAATCCAGGCTTGGCGCGCAAGGAGAAGGAGAGAGGCGGAGGGACGGAGAGGAGAGGACTCGGGAGCAAGAGACCAAGGTCACACATACGGTGGCTCGTCGTTTCGCCCGCGGAAGACCAGAACCAGAAGAAGGAAGCGTCCGCGGTGTGGCCGCGTCCTGTCGAGTCCGTTTCCCCGATTTGCTGCCTGTCGTGCCCTCGTCGTCGTTGTTGGCGGGGAGAAACTGGCTCAGTCGTTGACTCCAGAGCTGGTTTCGTTCGGATTCCGAGAGGTGGGAGTGCTGAACCAAAAATGCCTCGCGATACCCAGAGATGGCCCTCGTGAACAGTTCATCGTCGGCCAGGTTGACAGCCATGCTCGTGGTCCGGGAGGGAATGGAACTGTTTATCAGTATGTACAGTAACACAAACGTAGGTGAGATCTGTAGATGTCTGTCAGCAAAACGATGAGGGTGGGCCGCCGGTAGGTAGTAGTGACATACGCAAGTCTTGTTATCGCATCAAAACCGCACCGCGGTGAATAGGTGCAGTCTCTGAGGTGTGGAATCAGGGAATTGAGTGACTGAACCCGGTATATTATCAATAGAGAGGGAGAGCAACGACGGCAGTCAATCGGGAGGAATGTCGTAGATAAAAGCGCGCACGACCAGACGCCCCAACGGGACTTTTGTTTAGGGGGAAGGATGTGGATACGAGAGGCAAACACAGACTTAGTAGGGTCAACTATACCCTCAGTGCGCATCCCGATCGACCACAAACATGGAGAGCGAGGATGGTCTGGGTCTAGGCCCTGGGCACCGAGCGCTCCCAAAAGAGGACTGAAGCTGGCTGTGCAAGGAAGATGTTAGTACCGGCGACTAAAATAATCAACGGTAATGCCCAGTACTACTTCCTACTTGGACCCCCCCACAACCCGGGCATGTTCATTCTGGCGGTGACGAGGACAACGAAGTGAGGCAGCGAACCGGATCGCCCCGAGGCGACCCGAGGCCGTCGAGTGCCCGAAGCGGACTGGGGGACTACTGCGCCCGGGGGCCAGCTGGAGGGCTGCCACGTCGCCGCGGAGAATCAGACGGGCCCTGCAGATGACTTGACTTCATCACTTCATAGTCGACTAACTAACTCACGGATCCTGCTTACATGCCCAACTTCACAACTTGGGGCCCTGCTCGCCACGTGATGGGCTCAATCTTTTTGGCGGTGCGCGATTGCCGCCTCTTTTCTTGTGGTTGTTTTGTTTTGTTTCGTTTTGTTTCGGTGGTGATGGATTAGTTGGTTCGTGCTTAGCTGGATCGACATCTGGGCAAAGTGGACCTTGCCGTCAGGAGAGGGAGAGAGAGAGAGAGATTTCGGATAAGTACCAGTACACCGGGATATAACACGTCCTTTATTGCAGGCCAACCCCCAGGGGTTCGCGGGACTCAAGAAGCCGCGTCCAACCAGTCCATTGACCTCTGATTCCGTGGATCTATCGACCTGCATTGCGGCACATCACAAGATCCTGCCACCGGCGTCTCAACTAGAGCAGTAGACGCTGTTGTGGTTCTCTCGTGATGCGCGCAGGAGAGCCAGTGGCTTGCTTGTCGCCTCGTTGTCGTCCACGGCTCCCAGCCCAGAACCCCGGGTGCTCCCCAGAGACGCATCGACTCTCGGATGTCTCTCCAAGAGCCTCTCTGAGCTTCCCCGAGGCTGGTTCTGCAAGTAGACAGAATGACGGACACAGCTGGATGTGCGGTCCCTTCCACAGACGGCAAAGGTCTTGAGGCTGTTGAATCAATTGCTTGCGCGATGCGGCGCAGATAAGCTTGTGATACCCTCTCTGGTTCGCAGGAGCAGAGTGTGCAATTCTTGAGCAGAAAAAGCTGGTCTGCAGTCTATTTGTTGAACCGGTTTCCGCCTCACCATGCTTGTATACTGAACCCACCACACTGATGCTCTCGATCTATGGGCGTGCACAGCATCAATCGGCCTCGAGAATTGCCAAGGAAATTGAGCATTCAGATAACTGACCTAATAACTTGTCAGGATGTATAGTTCTACCATGCAGCATTAACAACAGTGAGACAGAATTAGTTCGGCATCCCGTTTGCCATGCACCAGGTGGAACCAGGTTCGAAAGGCCGGGCTGACGTCAAATTGCCACACAGCTCCATCTGCCAGGACCAACGGAAGCTGGAGACATGGAACACACGAGGAAAATGTGGGGAGGCTACATCATATAAAAGAGAATCAGCATCTTTGCGCTTCCATTTCCATTTCCTCACTGGTAGAAAGAATATAGTCCCACCCACGTGACCCTCCCCACGTCATAAGGGGGAAACTGTTGCCTCCCCTGATTGTCACCCCTTGTTGTTTCAAACCTACCGAAAACAAGCCCCAGGCGCTGGAGGACGAAGTTCTGTCTGCATCCAATTTCCGGGCCTGGATGTATCGATAGCCAGCCCTGCTTCGCCTCACCGCACCATGTCCGACTCAACCCTTTACCTGTTCACCTCCCTGACCGCGGGGTCCTCCCACATCGTCACCGCCACCGCGCGCCTGGAGACTATCCTCAAGGCCAACAAGCTCCCTTTCAAGGCCCTTGACGTCGCTACCGATGAAGCTGCCCGCAAGCTCTGGGGCCGCCGTGCCAAGGGCAAGAAGCTACCGGGCCTAGTGAAATACGGCACCGTCGTCGGTGTAGGTTGCCTCTGCTGTTGACACCACGCACTGAACAGGACACCCCGCTAACGGAACCCCCTTTCCTCCGTGTAGGATCTGGAGCAGATCGAAGAATGGAACGAGTTTGGTGAACTGCGGATGGAGGTCAACAACGTCCAGGATCTGGACGGCGTGCCTGCCACTGCCCCCGCCCCGGTCGATACTCAAGCCGCGAACAACCAGACTGAGAGCGAGCCTGCAACCCCGAAGCCATCCACTATCAAGATTCAAAGTCCGCCCGCGAATAAAACGGCAGAGAAGAAAGATGAGCAGGCTGTGCTGGCCCTTCGGCAGGCCAGCTCGGAGGCCGCAGCCAAGGCAAAGAACAAGTCCGAGGAGACGAAGAAGGAGGTATCTAGCGCTGAGCCCACCACGAAGGTAGACACGGAGGAGGCTGAAAGCAAGCCCCTTCCCGTGCACCGCAGGTCCGTGGCTCCCGAGCTGCCGGACACGGCGCCCGGGTCTCCTAAAGTCGCGAAACGCCCACCTCTTGTGCCGGAGGTGGCGGCGCAGTCGTCGGCGAACTTCCATGCCGACAATGCTGAAGCTCTGGGCCTAGTCCAGCATCATCGGGGCTCCATCATTTCGGCCGGCGATAAGGCGGAGCAGGAGAAGGCGGTCCATGTGATTCGGCAGTCTGTCTCAAAGGATGAACCGGACATGTCTTTGGATGAGCTTCGCAAGGAGGCCGCGCAGAAGGCGGATGAGGGGACGATTGAGGAGACGATCGAGGAACCGCAGCCCAGCGCTGAAGAGACCAAAGATGATACCCAGGATGAGGATAAGGGCGAGTCCAAGGAGGAACCTAAGGCGACTGATCCGGCTCCGAAAGAGGACTCGCAGCCCGATGAGGGCACCAAGGCTGCCGAGTGATAGACATGCCCGTTTACGACCTGATGATGAATTGTACATGAGGAGATAATGCGTGTTTTGTATTCGAGCCTGTCTGCTGTTGCTAGTCGCAGAATGCATTTTTAGATTTCTCAGCGAGGTGCGTGAAATGCGACTCAGTGGGATGCCAATTATTCCACCGGTCATTAGAGAGAATAAGTGTAAAACAAAACACAAAAAACCCAACAAAAAGAACCCCAAGGCTATAGCAATATGAAACCCTTTTCACCTGTGCTTCATGTGTGACCAGAAAATAAGAAACAAAATCACCAAAACGCCGTCTTTTCGGGTTGGTCGACTTGATTTATGAACGTCGTGACTGCACGGCCTCGCGCATTTTCGCAATCACATCGGCGGGGTCCGTCGCGCCAAAGATCGCCGAACCCGCAACGATCACATTGGCACCAGCCTCAGCCGCCTGGTCGATCGTACCCAACCCTAATCCGCCATCGACTTCGATATTCAAGTTGGGATACCGCTCGCGCAGCGCTGCCACCTTGGGCAGCTCGGAGGCCATGAATTTCTGGCCACCGAAACCGGGGTGCACGGTCATGACAAGGGCCATCTGTGGGGCAGAAAAACCCAGTGGTTAGTTTCGGTGTCGTCAATTGAATTGGAGAGCGAAAAAAAAGGGAAAGGCAAAAAGGAAGATTACTCACGTCGGGGCGCTCCAGAGGGTCCTCTGACTCGAGAATATCCCACAGCACGTCGACGGGCGTGTCGGGCTTGATGGCAATGCCGGCTTGCATGCCCTCCTCGTGGATGTAGCGGATCAGCGCGCGCGGGCTGGTGCGCGTCTTCGTGGTTGTGTCAGTGGGCTCGGTCGCGGCGACGGAAGAGACAGCCGCCTCGTAGTGGAAGCAGTACAAGTCGCAACCGGACTTGGCGAACTCGCGGACCCATTTATGAGGCTATAGCGGATTCAATTCCCCCGTTAGTCAATGTTCGCGGATTCGCGCGGAAACTCGCGGGTCTGGTTTCACGAACCTCCATGATCATCATGTGGCAGTCGAAGGTGCCACGGCCGTTGGGCTCGAGTGGGCGGTCGACGTAGCCCCGGATCTTGGTAACGACGGGCGAGCCGATGGTCATGTTCGGCACGAAGTGGCCGTCCATGATGTCGACATGGAGCCAGTCTGAGCCCTCTTCCATCTTCCGGGAGCATTCATGGCCGAGGTTGCCGAAGTCGGCGCTGAGGATGGAAGGGGCGATGATGGCGGGTGGTGTCATGGTGGTGGTGGTATTGGGGGTGGGTGGGAGGGAAGAGAAGAAAGTGGAACAGAAATCAGGGAGCAGACTGATTATTATTAGAGCTCAACTAAGCTATATGTTTACAGTAGTCAGTGGCGACAAGTGGAAACACCAGGGTCAGCCGGATCCAGTCCAACATTCCAGAACAAAAAAAAATGCCACGATAAGGGTTTTGCACCTCACGTTGGGGGGGCATTGCAGCGATCGTCGATGGACCCTCTGGAGCTCATGGCTGGATTGCCTATTCGGGACATTCCGGTCGCAGGAATTGCCCTTACTACCTGTTGGGCGCATCAGGTGATACAAATGGAGTTCTCATCGAAGCTCCTCTCTGCTTCCCTAGGCAAGAATAACTTACTAATAGTTGTACACTGGAGTTATCCAACACCGCCTATCCACTCCATATCCACAATGATGCAGCCATAGGTGTAGATCGACAGGTTCCCATATTTTTTGCTATACCAACAGTCCATCAACATCTGTCCTATGGATCCCCAGTGGAGAGAGCCCATTCAGGCGCACGGGGCACTGTGGTCCGAGCCGACTGCGATCCCCAAAGTATCCCAATGGCTTCCCAACGGTCTTGGTGAATTTGTCTAGTTACTGGACGCCACTAAAGAGGGGGAAGCGACCGGGGCGGGTGAAGAGGCTAGACCGATAGGGTACTATTCCGGGTGAGATGCCGGCCAGTCCAAGCTGTCACATCCTTGTTTTTTGTGGGGCTTTACAAATGTACTACTACAAAAACAAGATTCGACAATAACAATAATCATGAGATATACCCACAGTTCATTCAGTTAATTTTAAAGTACTTGTTTACACACGTTGCTATGGCGTGGCTAGGGCTGCCTTTCATGGGGAACTGAAGTGCTCGACGGTTTTCACGATCCGGTTTCTTCATCCCCCGTCTTCTCAGCGGCCACAGACGCTTGGCCTAAATCGTTCGTATGCGAGATGTGCTCTCGGGCCAACTTTTTGCGCGTCAGGAAACTCCACAGGTATGCCCCGTGCACGACCTCATGGCCGCCAGTCTTAGAGATCCAAACGTTGCCGAGGAAAGTCGTCAAAAGAACACCCAGCCACATGAAAGGGATCATCGAGATGAACGCCCACTTGATTGCATCCCGCTGCCCGGCTATACTCGGGCCACTCTTGTTCGTGTATACGGTGGTCATGACCGTCAGCCCGACAAGACCGCCAAAGGGCATTGCGAAAGACACGAGGCAGGTAATCGAGGCGGTGTTTTTGGGGAAGAACGCCAGCCCGTGGACGGACCCGGGATTCATGCGCATCCCGACGCCGTGCCCGATGAGGGCCATCATGCCGTAGACTAGGCTGTTTTTCTGCGCGTGGACGGCGTAGGCCATCACCGACATCCCCACGGCGGAAGTGGTGCCGCCGAGAAGCAGCGCTGGAAGGGTCTGGCGGGGCCAGATATTCGACGAGAACATGGCCATGTAGGCACCGGCTGTTGCCGTCAATTAGCATGTTCGCTTTCTCCAAAAATGGGCAAGGTTCTACCTACCTCCAAGCCCGGGCAGGAAATATAGTAGCGAAGTCCCGGCCTTGCCCGCGCTTTGCTGTTCAACTATGGCAAAGTACAGGTCCATAAAATACATCACAGCAAACATGGACATGCCGACTGCAAAGTTTATATACACCAGCAAGCCAATGTCTCGCTGTGACAGCAACTTCCAGGGCACCATTGCCCTCTGAAAGTGAAACAGACGCGACATCAACTGCCCCGGTGACATCAGATACTCATACACGACCCAGGAGATTGCGAGGACAGCGCCGATGACGAGCGGTGCCACCACGGCAGCCGAGCTCCATCCGAAGGTACCGCCGCCCCAAGTCAACGCAAGGATGAGCAGTCCAAAGCCCCAAAGAAACAGCAGCTGGCCACCGTAGTCAATAGTCATCAGACGAGCGAGGAACCGACCGTGTTTCGTGGCAAGATCATGCCCTTGTAGCTCTGGTAAGTCTTGCGGTCCGAGAAGCTCCCCACGGAGAAGCAACAAGATCAAGATAATGGCCAGAACACCGACGGGAAGGTTGATCGCAAAGCACCACCGCCACGAGGCCTCAGTCAAGTAGCCGCCGATTACGGGGCCAATACTGAAACTGATACTAGCCACAAGACTGAAAATCGTCCAGTTCAGAGCATAGTCGCGCAATGATACGCGATCTGCTAGGATCGTGCGGATGGAGATGTTGACCCCTGCAGCCCCGACGCCTTGCAGGGCACGCCCGAGCAATAATACACCGTAGACGGAGGTCGGCGCGCCGGTGCAAATGGCGGAACCAACCATCATGATAATGGTGGCAGCAAGGATGGTGGTAATTCGGCCGAAGAGGTCCGTCAGCTGTGCCCAGAAGAATAGGAATGCCGCCGACGTCAGATTAAAGGCCGAAATGATCCAGTTCAATTGCTTGAGTTCGCCTAGGAAGTTTAGCGGGCATATTCAGAAGATGAAATTCAGGAAACGAGACATACCGAAATCCCTTGCGATGAATGGCAAGGCCGATGCCACAATGGTGGTATCGAGAGCTTGCAGGGCAAAGGGGAAAAAGAGACCGAAAATGATCTTCCAGCGGTAAACCCTTCTTCTCTTCTTCTCCGCAAGCTCCTCAGGGGACAGCTCGGCTTTCTTTTTCTCCTGTTTCGGGTCTGCATGAGGTTCGGGGCCAGGCGTAGAAACGGGGGCAGGTATAGAAACACCAGCAGTATCAGCATCATCAACCTGAGTCACACCAACTCCTGGCTCGGTTTCTGGCAACTGAGTTTGCTGAGCTTCCTGCTGAGCCTGTTGCTCCTGGCGCATTTTTGCGCTTCTTCTTTATGTGTTTGTAGGCCAAATACATATTGCGATGGAGGGAATTGCAAAGTTAGAAATAACTACCAAAAGGTGTAATCTTCCTAACATGACTGTCAAGATGGACGTTGCATCGTTTAAGTACGTCCCCTTTACGACCTCAGCCGCCGCGATACGAGCGAGTGCAGAAAAAGACTCAGCGGTGAAGCAGCCAATCATTGCACGCACTGGGAAGCTTAGCCACGCTGCTTCGCGAAATCTGACCCAAACAGGTTTAGCGTGGCCAATCAAGTGGCAGCCTAGAGTAAATTCACTGTCCCGATGTGGTTGATTTCGCGAACTTCAACATCATCTGTGGTCTGCGCTGAAAATCAATTTCTGGACAGACCCCTGCTATGAAAGAACTAATGATAATCTCAGTTTCGGGTTTCTTTTTAGACTGCGGGATTTTGCGCTGTCTACGCGATACGAGATCAGCATCTCCATTTCGTCTCATTACACATAAAAAAAGAGATCGATGAGATCTAAGTAGAAGTGCATGGCGCAGCTGCTATGTAATCATGGAGCCAGGTCAATATTTTTGCGAGATCAGTTACTTACGGATCAAAAAGTAGTGGCACGGGTAACACCAATTCGATGATAATCCATTGAGAATAATTGCACTCGGTAGTATTCAAACTCCTAGCTAATGATTAAACCCGTTGGGTCAGAAACAAATTGTTATATACTCATCTTCACTTGTATCGAGCTATCTCATGCATACCAGGGGAACGATTTGCAGTTAAAATGGGACAATACTTAATAGGAGACAAAAAGCTTACATTCCCATCCATTCGATTATAACAAATTGTTTCTTCTGCAGTCGAAACATTATGTATTCCTGTGGGGGCATCTATCAGGGTTGTGGCTGTGAAGACCCTTTCTTCCCGTTTCAGTAAGGACTGCGAGCCCCGCCCTGTAGGTGCTGTTCAGCCGCTTATGATGCTGTAGCCAGAGACTCACGATACTGCGAAATACACCTTCTCAGCGCTCTTACAGACCAAGATGTTTTGGAGATGCGCTGCGGCGACATTGGAATCATTCGACCCTTTAAACATGTCGTCACTTCTGCCACCTCAGTCCGTATGCAGCCATCCTGGGAGTCTGATTTTATCATGAGATAAATCGTTAATCTGGAGGATTCTCAATCTCAAATCAGCATCATCAGAAAGCTAACTATACATCAGCCATTTTGTAAGTTGAATAGAACGCGCCTCCAAATGTGGCTTAGTTTATCGGAGGAACAGCCAATCACATAGGCTTAGATCACCGAACATCGGAGTTGTTGTCGAGTCACACCCGCAAACTACCAAGTTGGTGCTCTTCATTTTGTAAAGAAGCCATCTCCAGGAAAGAAAAATCGCTTTCCACGATGGCACTAGCTCGACCGCGCGGTCCAATTGTCTCCTCTGGCCCTGCCCTATTACCCTCGAACAAAACCCGTCTCCCTGGCCGGACGATTCTCCTGGAAAAGCTCGAACCAAAACATGCCAGCGATCTCTTCAACCTGACTGGAGGCAGTGACCTTGCACGAACTTCTCTATGGGACTACATGGGTGATGGGCCATATTCTCAGGTCGAGTCTTTCGAGAAGAGTATCGCCTCGAAATCGGCCTCCCTGGATCCGTTCTTCTTCGCGATAATCGACAAACGCAGTTCCATGCACAGCTCTGGCAAAGCAATTGGATATCTGTCCCTTATGCGAATAACCCCTGATCACTTGACTGTTGAAATTGGGAACGTGATGTTTTCATCGGCCCTGCAACGCACAACTGGTGCCACGGAGGCGATTTATCTCTTGGCACGTCACGCATTTGAAGATCTGAACTACAGGCGAGTCGAGTGGAAGTGCGACTCACTCAATGAGCCGTCACGGAAGGCGGCACTACGTCTGGGATTCGTGCACGAGGGCATCTTCAGACAACACATGGTCGTCAAGGGACTAAGCAGAGACACGGCTTGGTTTTCGATGTTGCGGGATGAATGGCTTGGGAATGTGAAAGGAGCTATGGAGAAGTGGTTGGATGAGGATAACTTTCACGATGATGGCACCCAAAAGAAACCCCTTCAGGATCTGATCATGAAAGCTGAACAGTGAAGCGATTCAGCAACGTAGAATGTCAGATTTATGCACCTTTGGAACTCTAAGAGAATAATTTGAGCAGTTTAGCCTCAGTAATCTCCGAGAAAGAAGAACTTCTTCTTATCTTCTGATATCTAAATTGGCCGATCTTCAAGTGTAGGGCAGTCATTCTCAACTTTGCCGGTTCGCCTTTGTTCAGAAGCCAAGTGTGGCTGACAAATCTGTCACCGCCTCTCCAGTATATAGTGGTTTAGGGTGGGCAGAATTTCCTAGGATTAGCATCACTCGCCTTTACAATTTGAAGTCCATTGATCCCTAGTCTTCTACATCGATCTCTTACACGTCAAGCCACAGCAAGCTCGTTTACACACGACTGCCAGCAGTGAATTCACAGCATCGACCAGTCGGACCTAGATTCGACCTCTTTGCTGGAGTCCGCGTAGTGGATTCCCCAAGCTAATGCGCCACCAGCCCGCGAGATCTGTGTTTCGGAGTACAACGCGCGACGGTCCCTCATTATTTATCTAGATTTATCATAACCTGGAATATTGATCCCCATATAACCCAGTGAATAAAACAGATCTACTGGTCGCCATTACCATGACATCCACATTGTCAGAGCTCCCTACCGTACCAGAAATTGGACTTGAACCGCCACCATCAAAACTTGCATCAAAAGCTTTTTCATATGCGAAACAACATTGTACTGAGGCTGTTTACAATCATACCATCCGTTCCGCATATTGGGCCCTGATTATCGCCAAGAAGCTTCCCGAGTTTAGCCAAAATGCGCAACTGAACTTGGACGCTGTGATTATTGGCTGTATTCTTCATGATATTGGATGGGCCAAAACACCGGAACTGCTATCTACCGATAAGCGCTTCGAGGTTGACGGCGCTAATATAGCACGCGATTTCATAAAAAATGAGCAGAACCAGATGAATGCAGATGGCCTCATGAGTGAAGCTGTCATTCAGCGAGTTTGGGATGCTATCGCCTTGCATGCCACGGGATCCATTGCTCGACATGCCGCACCCGAGGTTGCTCTTACCAATTTGGGTGTGGCAGCTGATTTTGCGGGACCAAGTCTTCGCGGCCCAGATGACATGGCCCTTATAACGTCTCAGGAGTACCATGCAATAATGACTGTCTTTCCACGCGCAGGCTTTAACCGAGATGGATTTAAGGAAATTATGTGTTGGCTGTGCCGTACAAAGCCTAAAACCACCTATGACAACTGGGTGGGCTCATTTGGGCGCAACTTCGGAACAAATGGTGTTGGAGCAGGACGCGAGGAATATGTACGGACATGGGAAGAGATGCAGTCTAACTATAGAATACTTTCAGGTTTGGATAGTCTAGAAGCGCGAGATGCGGAATATTCAATTCAAGCATCAGGGCTTTCTAGTTACAAGAGCGCCACTTCAAGGTCAGTGGATTTTAAACAATGTCCTGTGCCCAATTGGCCTTTGATTTCTCTGGGGTTCGCGATTAAACGTGATTTTCGCAATAGTGAGGCAACAATATGCATGTGGAAGGATCATTGCCACTGGAATTAGGAAATTACCACTTTGTGTACTCAACCCATGGCATACGGGCATACCAGACTCGAACCGATGAATCATTCCAAACACGTACAGTTGTCTTTTACATGCAAAATTTCAACCCCTTGAGTTTTAACTACATGGATTTATGTTTCACCTCCCCCGTCCTTTGCTATGAGGCGCACCGACGAAAGTTTTGGATCTAAAGTATGTGGACAACCATCATACATCATCTCGATCCTCAGCTAGTGCAGCCGGTGACTAGCTCACACGAAAGATCTTCTTAACGATCTAGGGGTTAATCGTATTAAGCGCCTTAGCCACGATTAGCTATAATAATGTCATAGTTAGCCCTTTCGTATATGTAAGAAAAAAGTTCTCTAGTGCCGATCGGAGACTAGCGGCTAGTTCAGCTCACGCTAAAAAAGGTTACGGGGAAATGTGGGATGTTACTGATCGTGACGGTCTTTTATTATTGGGACATGATAATAAATCTTCAAAGACTTGCGATGAGGGGCCGACTGTATTGAATTAATTTCATCATATTTTTGACAAGTATAGCTGTCAAAGACAACCTTCGAACGCGAGGCCGATTTGGTGGAACTAGCAACAAATGGGACCTGCAGATGACGTGATAGATGTTCATCTACCAGGTCGCATCGTCGATTTATCCTTGATATCACGCCATCCGGGCCAAGCCGGTGTGACCATGCACGGCCGGCCGTGATGTGAAATGTAAAACTTAATCGTTTGCTGTAAATATAACATGAAAATCCTTCATGAAAAGCTTCTATCTTAGGGTTATCAGCTTACTTGTTATTGACTAACTACAACTTTAAGGTTCCCCACAGAGGGCATCAAGCTCACGATGCAGCTGTCTAATGCGCAAATTGACATGATAGCCGTTGCTGGCCGAGTCTGCTCTGCCCTGTCCGCTCTAGGTACAATCACGATTATTGTTACCTTTTGTTGTTCGCGATACTTCCGCAATCCGATCCATCGTATTATCTTCTTCAATGCGTTTTACAACTTGCTCGACTCCGTCGCGACAATGATATCCGTTAGTGGGCCTGGAGCAGGAAATAGCTCGGCTTTATGCCAGTTTCAGGGCTTCGCCTTACAAATGTACACACCTTGAAATATATTCTCCCAAACATAGCACCGTTGACGAGATCTACAGGTTCCCACTTGCAGATGTGCTCTGGACATTTGCCATGGCCATGGACACCTACCTTGTTGTCTTCTACCACTTTGACGCGCACTCCCTACGCAAACTGGAGATGAAATACATAGGTGCAATTACCACTCTTACATTTATTCCAGCCTTGGTCTTCTTGTTCATCCAAACTCCTGAGAAAGGGCCTATATATGGCAGCGAAACAGTGAGTATCTTCCAGGATGCAATATCAGAATTCGGCAGTAAATTAACGTGCAGATTAATTTCAACAGATTTGGTGTTCAATATCTGCACATTGGATGCTTATCCGTTTAATTCTCTACTATATACCTGTCTGGTGCGTGCAGCCTCGAGCACCTTTATCAACTCGGTTGTTCTAACACCTGCTCATATCTAAAAGGTTGACCATCGCGATTGTGATGGTTATATATTGCCTCATCGGCATCGAGATCTCAAGACTGCGAGACGAACTCAATTTAAGCTCAGACGATCACATTGCCCTTACATCGATTTCTGCAGACAAGAATCCCTTTGATGGCACCAGTGGTACTGTCACTATTGTCGAATCAGATCCCCCAAATAAACCACCACAAATCTCAACTTCGCAAATCACACGCCAATCCTCTGTGGAATGCACCTCCACTCCGCTAGCTTCATCGATCCCTATCAGACTCGTGAAATCCAAGTCTCCAAAGCAGAAAAGTGTATCATTCAAAGAGTATATCCTCATGCCTTCGCTATTCTTTCTTGCTCTGCTAGCAACCTGGGTCACGCCGACTATTAACCGTGTCTCCACTTTTATCCACCCAGACTACCAGTCATATTCACTTCTGCTGGCTGTCAGTGCGCTGGGATCACTGCGTGGGTTTTGGAATGGTATCATTTTCATTACAGTGGGAGTAAAAGGGTGGAGGAGACGATCGTTGGATAAGCGAGCACCTGACACGAAGGTGAGTGAAATAATACCTCATACTCACCCCTCTAAGTGGATGCTCACAGGCCATAGACTAGGTGGGGTGTTGAATCATAGGGCTATCACTTAACGTTAAGTCAATAGAGGTTTAATATATGAAACTTGAGCGAAATTACCAATTCGGGTTGCGAAGCCGTTAGAGATGTGTAAAAGGTGGCCATTCAAAACTGCCCTGAGAATAAACCTTCTGCAACAATTCAAAGAAGCTGCTATAATGATACCCAAATCCAAGCTGAAAAACAAAAGCCGGGAAATTGACAAACTCCCATAGATTTTGGTCTTCGCCTCCGAGACTGGTTTGTTATCCGTACTTTGTGAAAACTTGTCCTGGAAATAACAGCAAAGGAACTTGCATGGTGTATTTTGGCTTTGTAATTACCCATTGAATGATGGCAAGGAGCTTGGTCTGGCGAATCCTGAGAGGGTCACACACTATATCTGCCTTCCAACTCAGTCACAACCAGTTCATGGCCTTTATTCTGCGGAGATCGAATTTCAAACGTTCTTGTGAACATTTCCTCTACTTCAGCATAGGATGGAGTCCATTGTGGGAAGCGACGTAATTTTTCACCAGTATTCAGCAAGACCATTTGCAATCTCGATGGGAGAGTTCTATGATAAAAGAAGTTTTTCCCAAGGTCTTTTGCAGTCGAGTGTGTCAGAATGGCATTTGGCTCAACATTACAATCATCATCATAATCGGGCTCCAATCGTTCATTGGGTGTTGTGGTTCCCGGTTCATCAAAAAATTGGCGACAGGCTCTTCTCATTTCCAGGCCAACATGAAGTTGGAGACAACGAAGATTGCGGAACCCATTTGCTAGCGCAGAGATTGGGCCCTCAGGCTGCAAGGAGAATGATTAGTCTTTCCGCTAGAAAAGTTTCCATTTAATCGTTAAATACTCACCCACTTCCGGTTCCGGCGAATATCAATTTCCAGATTCTCGAGGTTGGGACAGTGATCATCAAGAAGCCTGATATCTTTTGCTCCAAGCGTAGGCCTTTCTCGAGTGGGTTCCTCGACGGTATGCAGTGTGAGATGCTTTAGATTAGGATGATGAGCGATCGCAGCAATCGATGTGAAATATCCCTTGATAGTCAGACGTTCTAAAGACCCGAAGGAAATCAGGAAGTCCTCAATCTCGTGACAATTATCATTATCTAAATCCGGGTCGCTATATGCAGTGATCTCGAAAGCCAAGAGAGATTGCATATAGCCCGTGATAGGTTTTAGAAACCCATGAGTCGTCTCAGGGCCCAAGCTAAGTGACTTTAGCTGGGACCAAAGACCCCCGTTTTGCCAGGACTTAAATTCCACTTCTGTTGGCAAATATCCACTCAGTGAAAGATGTTGCAAAGGTGGGAATGTTTGATCTTCGCCCAGCTCGAGGGGTTCGATTCTTGTTAAAACAATTTCCGATGGATGAGGACGGCAGCACCCTCTTCGAAAACTAGAAATTTCAACAGACAAATTTTGAAGATTAGGACATCTGGCGAAAATCTCATGAAGAGCAATTTTAGGACGGGGAACAGAGTCAATGTTCCTGTCACTCTCTTTCAACGTTTGAGTAGGGACGCTGGTATGGAGGGTGTGAACACAAGTCATTTGGGTTTTGGCCTGAGTTTTGCCCCTCTCTCCAAGCAAATGGAGTTTTGGGGACTTGCTATGGTCACACATCGCATGTATGAATTCATCTGGTAAGGGGTAGTCGTCGTGTAAACTGCGTATCATCATTAGTATAGATCACATGTACCTAGGGCTCACAATGGTCCATATTACAAAATATTCTCCAGATTTGGCAATTCTTTCACCAGTTTGACGATCACACTGTCGGGCTGCTCAAGTTTTTCATAGATTCTGTCACGATCACTCTTATTGAAATCCTTTTCGAGGGTCAGATCTCGCACAAAAGCTCGTAGATTTTTGTTACAGCTGTTTAGCAGTCGGTACAAGAATCCACAGCAAGACTTTCCTTTTTCGACTGAATTTGGAAACTCGTTTGGAAAAATGTCCCAGTTGGACCTGTTAGTGGCTTTCGATGGCCCTAGGACGACCGATCTGTACAGAAATGGCGTCGCTAGTATATAAAATGATTTTGATACAGCACACAAATTCCTCATATCTTCACGAGGGTCCAGCTGGTGAGAAATATGTTAGCTGTGTGGGCAGTGAATAACCGAAGTCAATATGGGAGTCTGTACTTGTTGGAATACGAGATACCATATCTCCGGACTAAATTTTGACATGTTACTTTCCATTTCACTTGTTTATTTGTAGTCTGAGAAGTGGGAATACAATAGATAAGTCGGCGAGCGCCAAAGGCTGGTACAGTGCCTAACAGGTTTACGGGGGAAGATCAGCCTTAAATACTGCAATCGACTCAGCCTTAACTCTAAAGTCAAGGCGGTCTAGGCAACGATTCTTCCCCCAATAATAATCAGCATATGGAGGTAGCCTAGATCATTTCATAAGTACATGAAAGTATAAGCGCTAATTTATTTAGCTCCAACCCCTAGGGTCCCTGAATGCTAAGTTTTAGTCTAGATTTATAGTCTTCGCGCGACCCTTCTAGGTACTTTTGTACGAAGAGATAGATAGTCTCTTCCCTTATGTTCTTGAGCGTATGATAATAAAGATAGTCAAGTTTTTACCCGCCAGATAAGGATAAAGGCCGACTTAATTATGTATGAATACTATCCCGGGTTGGACTCGCTTGGATATATCTGAAAGTCCATCGGTGCTCGCGATCGTCGCGATAGAAAAGAAGCTCTGCTTCGACTGTCAACCTAAAACGACCATGAATATCGAGGATATGGACGAGATTTTTCGAGAAATCTTGTCCAGTACGGATATTAATTTTCACTATGACCGGTACTAGATCTAGATCCAACTCCTTCTTTTTTGCCAGCTGGCCGGTGCCTCTTGTGGCCGCCCAGGGGCGCCGTAGGACCTTCACTGTAGGACGTTTGCTACTGAGACCTTATGTTACATATATCTAGTATCCAAGTGGCGGACATCCTCGACTCCTATTTCGCGTGAGACGGGGCTTTTCTCAATCATTCATTGGGAAAAGAAACTGTCAGACTAAGGCAAAGGTGTAGTGGCTAGTCTTGAATTGTCTAATGAATCTTAGAGGAGTGAATTGAGTGATTCCTCGTCTCAGAGGATTATTCTGCAATTTATATACACTCTGCTACGAGTCGCTTAAGCATGAATGCCCAAAGTGTCGAGTAGAGAAGCCGGACGTTGCTGAAAATGGAGCATAGTGTGTCACTAGCGGTAACTTATCGGATGTCTTGTACTTTCCTCTACTTCACACAGTCCAGAGAATCGGGTCCTTGGAATTTCGTTCTCCATGCTTTTCAGTGTGCATGCCTGGACTTGAATGAATGAACGATAATAATACTAATACTTACTACTACTACTAATTGCCGGACGGAAGCCTCTGTTTTCCATACCTCACATTCCCAACTGTTATCCGGTTCCCCATCCGCCACCACCTCTCAAGCAAAGATTCTGCTCCTTGAGATCTCCAGTGACAGCATATTGGACACTCTCCCTCGCCGCTAGGGCGGCTGTGAGCCGCATGCTGCTTCGCATTCCGTACACGGTATAGATATACCGTGTTTTACCTCCTAATACGGATGAATAGACAGGACGCTCGGACCCCTTGCCCTGAATCTGTCCCGCTTTTTATTATGATAGGCACATGAATACGAGAGAGAAAGGCAATTTGAATTATCTCGGTACCTAATTTAGTGAGCGAACCAACCCTCAAGATTAAACTCCGCCACGGAAGGGTTTCTGTTGGGTGCGAGCCGCACTCTGTGCGCTATTTTCCGGAACACGAGGATCGCCAGTACTTGGCTGCAGCAAGAGATTATGATCGACGCTACGGAATACTCCGTAGATGGAAAAACTACGAGCATACTCCGTACGGAGTAGAGTGATCTGTTGTCGATTTACGCCACCAATGACACTCTATTGAGTAAACGTGGTTCGATTCTACGAGGTCTCTTTTTTCTAGCTCAAGTTTGCTCGTATTCTCTTTGTTCGTATTCTACGAGGTATACAGTTAAGCGAGGCGTGCCAAGGTCCTCACTTGGTATAAAGATGGGTAGGCTGCGCTTGATTGCACGATCTCCAAACCTAGCTTCATTCTAACGCCGAAGGGCTGCTGTCTCTCTTTACACTCGACAATGGGTGTCCCGCGCCTTTCCTGGCTGGCCTACGGCCTTGCCTCTGCTCTCTTGGTCCAGGTCGGGTCTGCCGCAAATCTAGAGCCTATTGATATGCTTGGACATGAGGAAGGTCTGCTGGTTGCCCGTCACAGTGATTGCCACAAGCTAGATCTTCAAAAGTCCGAGTCCTTTCTATGGGGTGGTAAGTGAAGCCATTGCTGAATGTTCAAAACGCGAGACTCATCTATATCACGTATAGGATACAGTGCAAACAACAAATATGCTCTCGGTAACTTCACGGTTTTTACGCCTGGAGAGCACGAAAACATCATCTCCATGGAGAAGTTCTATCCTCTATTGAAGTCCACTGAGTGTACCAAGTCCAGCCTGACTATGAACTTCGAGGACCAGAAGGCCTACCAACACGGAGCGAACACCTGGAAGTGGGTCGATAATCACAAAGATAATACCTTTCTGCTTGTGGCTGGGAAGGGCCACTGCGGGTGGAACGAAGACCGACTTCCTTTTATTATCAATACTCTCTGGTTTGATGATCTGACCAACACTATCACTGCCTTTGGCGAGGCCTCCGATTGGATTAACGCTACACATTCGGCTGAGCTGTATCTCGGCGGCCGCCCTGCCTCGAAAAAGCGGTTCTTGGACGACGCGACCTGGTCGTTCCCTGTCGCCGCAGACTTGCCGCTCAACCACAAAGAGTTTAATATTGGGGAGGCCAAGTTGACATACGACTGCGATGGCTGCGGTACGCACGGAGAGATGGAATTCACCTTCCACTTTGTAAAAACGCTGGGCGTCCCGCACGATGTTGAACTCATCATCCATCCTAACGGAGTGGAGGCAGTCTTCGAGCCGACCATCAAATTAGAGGCGGATCTCACCGATAAAATTGATGAGACGTTGCCTCTCGGGAGCATCCCAATCGGCGGGATTTCTATCGTTGGTGGTGTTGTGGACCTTGGCCCCGAGATTGTTTTCGACCTTGTATACGGATTAGGTCCCCTCAAAGGCACTGCTTCAATCACGGGTGGAGGTACTGCTAGCCTCCAGGATTCAGCTGAGTTGACACTGGATCTGCTCAACCCAGATGTGTCTGCAGGCGGCTGGACACCACAGTTCGAATCCAAGCCGATCACACTCGACGCTGCTATCAGTGGAGATGTAATGATTGGACTCCAAGTAGGCATTGAGCTGAGCATCGAAGCGCTTGGTGAGTGTCCCGAGATAGTATCTGTTTTATCCTCAACTAACCATGTCATATAGATCATGGATTCGAGGTTGGCGTCAAACTCCAGCCTTACCTCGGTTCGACATTCACACTGATGGCGTGTACGTGACGGATTTAACCCCACGTATTAAATCAATATAACTGATGTAAAACAGCAACTGGCGAAACTTGTCCGAATGCGAAAGGCATGCACGAGGCCATTAGCATCGCAAACTCAGTTGGCATCGATCTCATCGCGGAGGCAGGCGAGAAGGACAAAACCGAGAGCCCATTCCTGTCTAAGGACCTCGCGGTAAATGGTACTGTGCCCCTTAACATATCCATTTGCTAACATTGCTATCACTAGTCAACGACTTGGGCACTTCCCGGCTTCTGTACCGGATTCAGCGATGGACTTAGTGTCCCAACCGGTACATTTTCACCCAGCTCATACTCGGTTCCCTTCTCGTCTTCCCCAACTCCTCGTTATCTCACCTCTGTGCCTCCATCCTCCTTCCCTTACCCTTTTGTCTCGTTTCCCACGCCCTCGTCCTGGGATTGGCCTCCTGGCTCGCCACCTACAACCCGGCCAGAACCGCCGTCATCTTCATCTTCCGTGGTTGTCCCGCCACCATCGTCCATTACGCCTCCTCCGTTTACTTCCAGCCGCTGGTCGCCGCCGCCGCCGCACACCTCCAGCTCGATCGTCCCATTTGTCCGTAGGAGACAGGAGGCTCGCAGACAGCAGGCGTGGGTCCATGAATGAGCTATTCTCTCATTAATAAGGATACTTTAGCTGACCGTTTACTTTCACTGTGTGACACATTCACATTTCATATTTATACTTTTTTTATAGTTAATTCCGTTCGAGTCACATATTATCAAAGAAAATAAAAAATAAAAAATAAAAAACCACTGGTGTGGGAATATGGATTTCCATTCGCTTTCTCCCGAGATGCAACAAGTAGCCGTCGGGTTAATATGAGACTGGTGTGTTGGCAGCGTGAATTGGAGGCATCCAGAAAATGAGATCAATAGACTAGGCATTACATAATAGCGAATCATAAAGAACGACAAAAGCACGAGACAGCAATGACCTCGATATGGTTCTGTCAGGTTTCTGCCAGGGCTTGGATGTGATCGGCGGTATATAGGCCTACCATTAGGGAACACCATGCGCAGGTTTGCACACCTTGAAAGCGCTTCACTGAAGCTCTGGGCCTTGTGGCTTCACGGGGTTTCCTTTTACATTTGTCTGAATTGTCAGCGACAAGCCCGTTTGGGTAATGTAGCCCTAATATCTCATAATAACCCTTGTCGGAGGACCTGGCAATCGAGAAAAAAAAGATGCGACGATTTTCTGCGGTATAGTATTATTCGATGAACTTGACCACGCAACGGGTACAGAAAACACCATCGCGCTTTGACCTCGAGAGTTATATATTGTCTACAAATCTGTGGCTATTTGGGTGTATGTCCTGTCTAAACTTTTTTATTCTGTCTTTCCTTTAGCTAATTAGTAGTAGTACTTTGAAGACATCTTTTGCGTAAAGCGATATACATTACCCTCGTGATAAGTGCTTGAGGCGTTAACAAGGGCCACTATCAGGGTAAACTTTTAAGCTCATCACACCAGTCAATATGGCATCCACCCAAACTTGAACCTTCAGTCCGGACTATATGGAATAATGAAGTCCTTTATGAAACCTGCAGCGGGCATTCCGCCTAGGGTTTCGACTATCGGCTTGGCAGCAGCCGTCGCCGGCTCCAAACGGGGTGTGTTTTGTCTCAAACCACATGACTATGTGATCTGACATTTGTGATGCAAATTTGCCCTCCGAGCAACTCATCACGAGAACTCTGCGTGACTTAAGCGCCCACAAGGAGTCCTAGACGGGCCGAGGATCTTACAGTGTGGGCAAGTCCATTCATGTCAGCCCTATAGGAACGTGGATTGTTGACATCAGTCATCTTACCATGGGCAATAGCCTGTAGGGTCGCATGCATGTGGATACACAACGGGCAGACTCTCTGTCCGCGAATTGCGGTCAATTAGCCTAGTTTTCTATAATTAACTCCATCTTTCGAGGTGTACAGTAATACTGTATCCTGCTGGATTCGGATGCATTGAGGGGCATTTTGTCCTATTAGCATGAACTTTGTGTGTGATGCAACATTAATTAGTTACCCAGTAGAAGCCGTTAATATAGCTAAACATAGTAACTCGGCGCTAACTGAGGACCAATGAGCCGGGCCGTCACTTACGCACGGTCCAACCCCGGCGGTTCAGCACGCATCCGACGACTGTGATTCGTGGCTGCTCGCAATTAACTGCCCTGGTGTCACGCTGAGTCGCTCTCGACAACCGGTCAAGGGCGACGCGCCCGTCTGGGTCTCACCAATGAGCATGCACGCTCCCTTCCTCCGACCGGGTGATTGTAGGCTAGTCGTGCCCAATCCCGCAGTAGTTTCTGCACAGGACATGAACAGGGATCGATTCTTCATTGCACATCCCCCGGAGCGGGCAGTCCGCGCCCGGTATGACTACTGTATATATGCAATCTCACGGCCCGGGTCCTTTCTACCCTCGAAGTCCTGGCGTCTTTCATTCCGTCATTTCGTTCTTCGCCTCTAGCTCTGGTAGCTGTGGCCAGTTTTTCCTTCTGTTTCCTTTCTTGTCTCTTTTGACCTCGCTAGACCCGTCGATCGGCGTCGATGCGCTTTCTTTACAATTTGTGATACCCATAGACACTTGTGTCGCTGCCTGATATCAGGGAAAATCAACATCCTGCAGTCCTAAGTGCGAAACAATGACCGACTCATTTCGCCCTTCGATCTCCAGATGTCCGCCCCTCCGGCAGGCCCGGGGGACGGTGCTTAATACTATAATGGAAGAGGATACACGCAACTCACACCTCGCAGGGAATAGCTGTGGCAGCCTATCCCCATCCAAACATCCACTCAAACAAACCAGCCCGCAATTGAAACTGAAAACTAGCGGCTTGTCGGGGCATACCAATGCCCGTCTTGCTCGACTTATGTCTCCTATCTCAGCTGGAACGACCTCATCTTGCTCTGATACGGAGTGGCAGCATCAGGTTCGAGAATTCGACGATCTGTATGACGCCACCGAGGATGAGATCGACACCGATGACAATTCAACCGATCTGAGCGACAGCTGCTTCTCTCCTTCCAGTACGAAGCGATCGAGTCTTGAGACTCCCGTCACGCGAACTTCAATGACTTCGACAAGCAGTCGGAAACACTATTTGACCCCCCTGGAGATTCCTCCGACATCAATATGGCCATCCGTGACCGGGGCTCACAAGAGTTCGCCAATCCCGCCCACGCCTCCGCCCAAGATCCCAGTATCTCCTGCGGCGCTCTCGATTCTCGCGCGGACTGTACCTGCGTGCCATGCGCCGCCTTCTCTGGATGGGAGTATTTCGTCGGACCAGGAATCGAATCTCAGCGCATTGGCAACCCCTGACACCCACTCACTTCCTGATACCAGCTGGGATGTCCAGGATGTCCATGTTCGACCTGATGTAGACGGGAGTGAGAATGGAGAGGAAAATTCTGATGAGGGGATGGACACTGTTCCTATCTCCATTGAGAGCCCTCACGATGACTGGCGACATGTCCTGGGGAGTTTCCCGCAAATTCCTTCAACCCCTCGCAATCCCGTGCCTTCATCACAGCAACAGGACGATGAACTGTCTCGGGAAACGACACCGTCTGATCGAGGCGTTTTCCTTCCTGACGATGCATTTGCCATGTTGCAGCATATTCCCCTTGATCGTACTCCAGAGTCGTGGTCAGAGACCTCCGAGGGTAACGATGAAATGTGGCAGCTCCAAATTCCTCCTAGTCGGCCACGCAGCACGGATGGAGTCACTCCAGTGTCTGACACATCGGCCTACAGTTTCAGCAACCTTAGCATTCCGTCACCCGGTGGTTTCTTTGCCTCGCTTGCTCCCCGTGCTCGACACACCTGGTCAATCCCAACTTCCAACCACGCCCCTTCATCCGCCGTGGCTGAGGGATTCTATAACCTCCCCTGGCGTCGAGAAGAAGGAGAAGTTGTTGAACAAGTCATCAACTGGCCTGAACGTCTGCCAATTGAAGATCAACTCACTGCTGTCCCGGACGAAGACGGTCCTCCAACAGCCATCCGGATTGTTTCTGAAACTCCCACTCGGCCAACTATTGCTCAGGATAGTCCTATGAGTGCTGCCTTTGATGCGGTTCAAGTCCAGGAAATCCCCCGGTCTGGAACTGGCTATGAGTACGACGAGCTCTATGACAAGGACATGCTTGACCGGGCGATGGTCAGTCTTGACCGAACCAGCGTTTGGCTTGCTGCTCAAGCATCGTATTTGGCTGCCCTCAGCGAAACTAACCCGGTGAACGAGGTCGGCCCCACTGAGAGCCATTCCGACCTTGATGACAGCAATGTGCAGGACTCAGCAACAGACTCTGCTCCTAAGAAGGCTGTCCGGTTCGCCGAAGGAAGCCCTCAAGCTCACAGCCCACCACCTCCGGTGCACGCCTGTAAGGACTCAATCTATTGGCGAGGTTTCCAAGCCATCCGGCAGCGGTCTGGTCGCACTGACGGATTCCTGCATCGCAATATGCGCTTTGATGCCATTCAATCCATTCGTTTGGGTTTGGAAGACCTTCATATCAACTGCCTCACGGGCAAGTATGAGTTGGTTCGCCCGGAGCGACCTCCATACAAAGGTCCCTTCTCCCAAGCACCTCGAAACTCCATCATCACATCGGTACTCGCCGAAAAAGCGCAATTCGCCAAGGTAGAAAAAGAACAACTTGTGCTGGCCCAGCTCATGCAACCCATGTGGGCCGTGGACGCGCTTCGTTTTCTCAACGGCGGCAAGCTCCTCGCCAGTCCGGCGAACAAGCGTGTTGCACGAGCACGGGCACAACCAAACCCTTCCTCTGAGAAGAAGAAGAAGAAGCAACGCACCCTTCGAATTCTGGACCTCGGGGGCCAGGGTTCATGCGAGTGGGCGTGGCATGCAGCCCATGATTTCCCGAATGCGAAGGTCTACACGGTTCATACCAAGAATCAGACTGTCAATAGCGCAATTAAAGGCCCACCAAATCATCGCCTGGTTGACGTGACGAATTTGTGGGCGCTGCCGTTTGCCAACAATCAATTCGACGTCATCTCCGCCCGCTGCTTACATTCTCTCTTGAAAGCTGAATGTCCCACCGGTCTGACCCGAGACGAGTTTGACTTGGTCCTCAAGGAGTGTTTCCGCTGCCTGAAGCCAGGCGGTTACCTCGAATTCCTGGTCCTGGATGCAGAGATCTCGCGTGCAGGCCCGTACGCATCGGCGACCTCGGTGGAATTTGCATTCAACCTGCGTACGCGCGGGTATGATCCTGTCCTATCGAAGAGCTTTCTCTCTCGTCTCCATCGCGGTGGGTACACGGACATCAAGCGCGCCTGGATGTTCCTCCCGGTCGGCGGGGAGCCCGCTGAACAACCGCCACCGAGGGAGACTCCTGCTCCTCGAGTCCAAAGTCAGATTGAGGAGTATGAGGCAGTTCAGGGACCCGTTGGCAGCACTGGTGATATTGCTAGTTTGACTGGACTGTTGGGTGGATGGATGTGGGAACAGTGGCTGGTGAAGTTGCGCATGGAGATGGGTCGTGAGAGGTCGAAGCTGCTCGAGGGCGTTGGGGCGTTGTTTGATGAAGGCCGGAAGAATGGTGCTGGTTGGACATGCCTGTCGGGTT